TGTGGACTGTGGGGATGGATCCTCAGAGAGGCTGTGGGTTCTTGGAACACTTTACAAGAGGACTGCCATCAGCCACTCCCCTGCACCCGCTCAGAGTGCCCTAACAGAGTCACAAAGAGGCTAAGAAAATGGGAAGACCGGAGAGCTGCCCACTGGAACTCTGGGGCGGTGGAGGTTGAACTCATCAGCATCATGCAGATCCAGTCACTTGCTATTGAGCTACAGTGGTGGAGTTACTTACCTGCTCTAAAGCTCCACTTTCCAACATGTAAATTAGAGGTGTAACACTTATCTTATAGAGCTTTCCTAAATACCCAGAAAGATAATCCATGTGAAAAGCCCAACACCTTAAGAACTCAGTCCTGATAGCTAGAAAATCACTGTTCAAATGAGCTCCAAAGCACCCACAGGCATGTCCGCAGTCAGTGGGAGGGTGTCTAGGAAAAATTCTTTCAGGTTTCTTCTTTCTCTAATAAACAGAAGGCGCTGGTAATGTATGACTGACCCACCCCACCAAAAGCCAGTCTCCATTTGAGAACTCCAGAAAGTTGGGAGGATCCTTCAACACCACAGGTCACATGAGAGGCTGTGCATTTCTGGATTTCCTCAAACATAACACCCCTACCCCTATCGCCCCCCCCCCAAAAAAAAAAAACTGGCTTGAAAGCACTTTTCTACAGAGAATTAAAGCTCTCGGCTACTTTTGCAGGATCTTAAGACCTAAAATTGGGATTTTGTGCCTTGCCTGTCTTAAATTAGCTTCGAGAGGGTTCTTTTTGTGGGGTGGGCAGGAAGTTGAAAAGGCAGAAGGGGACAGTGTTGACATCTCTTGCTTTGTCATTAGGTCAAGCTCTTTTAGCCAGTGCCAGCCTTCTTGGTGGACACAGTCACAAAGAGAAAGGTGTTTCCAAAACTGGCCAGCATAGCCTTCATTTGAAAGCATGGCAGCAGCAATGACAATCAAGGGACTGGGATCTCAGAAAGACAGAAACTTAACAGCAACGTGAAATAGCCTCGTGTGCAGCCCTTGATTTAAACTGCTCTTGTCTCTTTAATTCACGTGGAGCCTGTACTGGGCGTCACCACCACCGGCTTTGGGGGCTAAAAGGAGTAGGAAAGCAGAGCTGTGACAAAAACCTAAATAAGGTTGGCTGCTGTCACCAGGTCACCATTTCCCTCCTGACAGGTCAAAGAGACTGCATTGCATTTCCATAGTGTGTGCCTCAGAGCTGAGCCTCAGCTCTCCCCTTCCAGGTGAGTCCCACCGAGAGGTGTGGCCTCTGTGTGCTGAAGGTATCACCTTTGCTTCCTGAACCTTATAGTTTGAAATACCATTCAGAGGGAGGGTGGAGGAGGAAGGAGGGTGGAGGAAGGAGATAGGGGAGGAAGGGGGAGGAGGAGGAAGTGGGGAAGAGGAGGAGGGTTGAAAAGATGGAGGGACATGTCTAGGTTCCTATTGGGACCTCAGCATCCTTAGGAAGGAGGAAATGGAGCTGGCTGGTTTTGTACTGCCAGGTATTTTTCTGCTCCTACCAACCTCATTGCTGCCTCCTAGTGAAGGTTTTGGGATTGGAAAGGAGACCAATTACAGAGGAGGCTATAAGGGAAAAGAAAAAGGAAACAGTGTTTGGACTCCCACAGACTTTTCCTGCAAGTGTGTCTCAGTTTCCCATCTGACACATCTGTGGCTCCAGGTGTTACTGTGTCCCTAAGGAAAACAGACCCTTCAGGTGCCACTGACCAGCCAGCCTGGTTTCTGGATGTTACTAAGAGTTGACAAAGCAAGACCCATTACACTCACAATTCTCTGCAATGTCTTTGTCCTTTGCAACTTCCTTCCAGCAGCCATTCCATTTCCTGTAAAGTAGATTTTCATCTTTCAGACAGAACTGACTGCATCGTAGCTGTTTGAGCACATACCACCCCACCAATATGACCAGAACATAGGAGCGAATTAAAAGTCAATTTATGTCTGGTACGTATATATAACAATGGCTTGGGGTTTTCCTTTATTAAAAGCTCAGCCTGGTTCAGTTCAGGCCAGAGGTCTAAAGGCTGACGGATAACAGGGACACACTGCTTTCCTTCATCTCACAATTACTGGGGTACTCTTTTCTTGGATGTGAAGGTCTCAGGCCAACCCTCCTATTTTGGAATGCACCAAGTTTTGTTTGGTGAAAACATGAATCACACACAGTTGTTTTCTTTCTGTCTTTGCTCTCTACAGAACTTTTTAACTCGGTTCATTCACTAAAAAGGCAACATAGCACAGTTTATGTGAGGGCTATGTGAGGAAGTTTGATGTATTTTATTTTGACAACATAGCACATGTAAGCATAGCTTTTGCTCATATATACAAACATTTCAATGCAATCATAATTTATTGAAGATTTTAAAGATAAATTTGAAGCACATAAAATCATTTAAAATACCAACATGAATTAATTTCTTCAATCTTCAATATTTTTATGCCGAGATAATTTTCATTATTAGACTTAACTTCATTCAGAATTAGTGAATAACAGTTTTCATATATTGTGTCCTCATCCACATGTTCTTTGTGTGACAGTGTGTAATATTTTTGTCTCAAACCTATTATACAAGTTGGTAGGTTGAAAGCTCAGAGATGGTAATTTTGTAGTTTATCATCATGAAACAGTATATTTAATATCCTAGTCTATGTAATTATACCTCCTAGTGTCTTAACATTGCACCACCCAGAGCCTGTGAATGACAGTGTCTTCTACAGTGTGTTAAAGAAGTATGATTCTAGAGAAATCAGTTCAATTGTTTTAGCAACAGAAGGGCAAAAACAATTGGAAACAAGCATTTGCAAACATGACAGCTGAGGAAAACAGAAACCCACTTAACATGCCGCTGCTGGCTGGCCGTCTGTCATCCCAACCGACATTCTCAAAATCAATCGCTAGTCTTCACTTTAAACGAGCAACAAAACAAGCCTAATTCTTAAATAAATAGACGCGCGAAACAATTCACATCAATGCCATAATTACAATCAGTGCTTTAAGGGTCCGGGGTGTGTACAAATTGAACATAAATGGAAAGAAGACATAAAAAAATTAGCTGTTTATACAAATGTGGTGCTTGCAAACAGCCAAAGGCAGGAGGCAGGCAAACTGCCCCAAGCAGTAACTACCTGGGGAGGGGGGAATCCCAGGGAGATGGGGGGGGGGGTGCAAACAAAACTATGCTGCTCGATTTCTCCTCAGAGCGTCAATTACAATTGCTCTAATTACCAAGCAAGAAAATGTGCTCAACAGCATAAAAGTAGTCTAGTGTGGGGCATATTTTTAAAATTTTGTTTAGAGAAATGATTTATACTCCTGATTTGAGGCACCTTCCCCCTACCGTGCGGTGGAGAGACTGGATATTAAAGAGATGACACCGAGATAGATGCCTCTGATGACCAGGATTAAAAGAAATCGAAACAAGGAAGAAGACAATTATGAAAGAGCTGGTTATTCAGATGAGGATTCAGACTCAGCCTAGGCTCACTCCTTTGCCAAAAGCTTGCCAAAAAACACCCTGTCCATCCTAGGCTATTTTTCGCTCCACTACCTCTGACTGAGTGCATCAGCAGGCAAGAAAATGCGGGAAGCGTCCGTTGCAAGTCACATCTGGCCCTCCGAGGAAAATGAGCACTTTCTTGCCCTTCGGAACAGTCTCACTTTCAAAGACGCCCCCCCTCCCCGCCCCCACCACACCTCCTCAGGCTTAACCCTCTTCCTCTGTAGCTCCTGAAGCTCGGCTCCTCGGGTGTACCCCCTTGATTCTCCCAGAAGAGGCTTTCTGGAGCTGCCAGCAGAGCCATGGTAGCGCTGGGCCGAATAGGGGCAGCCGCCGGTGACTCCAAGGGTTGCCAAGCGCCAAACAGTGCGCAGACTCCGCGGCGCACGGCGGACTCTCCACTCGCCTAAACCTGCACTCGAAGTGAAAAAGAGTAGGAGGAGGAGTGTTGGGAGGGGGCGAAAGGGGGGGGGCGATCCTGCTAATTTCAGGTCGGGAGGGGGAAGCGGGAGGAGGCTCTGCTGGTCCCTCCTCCCTCCTGGAGTCCCGGGCTCCTCCTCCTCCGCACACCCAGGATATACACACACACTCACACACAGTCGCGGCTGGACATGCACACCCAGCGCCCGCTGCCGGCGCCTACACTCGCAGGTGGCGACACTCACCTGAGCTGGTACCGAGGGCTCCAGCCACCTTGGGAGCGGCGGAGCGACGGCCTGGGCCCGGAAGGGGCCCGGAGTGGGGAAAGCAGGAGCAGCCCCAGCGCAGACCCGGGATCCGAGGTGATGGCGCGTTTTCTTTAATCCCCTTCCTCCAGTACCTGGGTCCCCCCACCCATCCAGCCCACGGCCCCCGGAGAAGCCGGGAGAGACGGGCTCCCGGGCGCGGAACACACGCGGGCGCACGCTTCGCCGCGCGCTCACCGAGAGGGGCGCGGCTGAGCCCGGGCCGGAAACTTGCGAGAAGTTAGTTGCAAGTGTCTGGCTACGACGACCGAAGGCAGGAGGAGAAGCCGCCCGGGCCCGGCCAGCTGCGTTGCACGGCGCTGCCCTCCACACCTGGAGTGCTCCTGGAGCCCCAGCCGGCGGGCGAGCCTGGAGGGGCTAGGTGCCAGTGGAGCAAGCATGGCCCCGGGGATTCGCCGCGATTCGGAGAGCGCGGACGGTTTCCACTGAGGCCCGGCGACTCAGGCTTGCTCAAAACCTCATCCTACCTCTTTCCTCACCTCTTCTGCGCGCGGAAGCCTGGGGGCGAGACTCTCCAGGCAGGTGCCGGGGGACAGTGCCCGCCCCCAGCAAAGCTATCGGATTGTGGGTCCCCTCAGCGCGCCCTGACTCCAATCGAGAAGCCCCGCCGGTGGTGTGTTTGTGTTTCTATCCATCGCGGTGCTCCGCGCGCCCAGACCCTCCCCCTCCTCTTCCTCTTCGCGGGCCACCCCTCCCCCACTCCCATCTGCTTCTGTCAAATGAGAAAGTCACCGCGGAAAACCCAAACACTCCAGCGGCCGAGAGCCCCTTTTGGCACTTGGCAGCACGCGGCGGCGGGCTCCTCGGCTCAACTTGGTGCAAGATCCTCCGTCACTCAACTTTCGGGGCTGCTTGGCATTTAAGGCTTTGCAGACAGAGGAAAGGGCAGCGCCTGTCCAGGCAGTGGCCACCTGCAGGGAGTTGGCGAGCCAAGGCAACCGGACCGAAGGACAAAAAGAAAGCAGAGGGCAAAGTACCACCGCGGAGTGGGGACACTGCCGAGAAGTTCCAGGGTCCCGAAGAGGATTTTTCCTAGAGTTCGGCCAGAGAGACCAAAGCGGCCCGGGACGCAGCGCCCCGGCCCTGGGCTGGTCCTCGGCTCCCCTCTTCCCGAGCGGGAGCGACGCCGGGACGCACGGTCGCCGGCTGAGCAGGTCCCCGCTGGCAGCCAACATTGATTTCCTCCGGGCGGAGGCCGAGGGACCGGGTGGCGGCGGCGGGCTGCAGCCGCGGCACGGCGACAGCATGTCCAAGCCGGTGGACCACGTCAAGCGACCCATGAACGCCTTCATGGTGTGGTCGCGGGCCCAGCGGCGGAAGATGGCCCAGGAGAACCCGAAGATGCACAACTCGGAGATCAGCAAGCGCCTGGGCGCCGAGTGGAAGCTGCTGACCGAGTCGGAGAAGAGGCCGTTCATCGACGAGGCGAAGCGCCTGCGAGCCATGCACATGAAGGAGCATCCCGACTACAAGTACCGGCCGCGGCGCAAGCCCAAGACGCTGCTCAAGAAGGACAAGTTCGCCTTCCCGGTGCCCTACGGCCTGGGCGGCGTGGCGGACGCCGAGCACCCGGCGCTCAAGGCGGGAGCCGGGCTGCACGCAGGCGCGGGCGGCGGCCTGGTCCCCGAGTCCCTGCTCGCGAAC